GGGTCGTACGAACGTGCCGAAGACCTTGCCAAATACAACTTTATCAAACTTAATAAAGGCGCGCTTGATTAAATACAAACTCGACATTGCGGATTTAGCCAACTTCAGGCATGGGAGTGATGGCTTCAGTGAAGGCGTGAACCACACCCCCAGGTCTTTCTGAGCTTCTACCTCTGGCAGCGGCGTGTGGTTCAGGTAATAAACCCTTCGAGGCGCAGTGCTGGTTCTATCGAATCGCATTAAGTTGCATTTGGCCACATTGAATGGCATGAGCCACACTGAGTGGCCGTTTCCACAGGATGTTGAACTTTCAAAGCGAGCGGTGTCATTGCGTCAGACTTACACGGTGGCCACTTAGGTGATAGAGTTTTATGCTGCAGTTCCTAATTCCAATAGACTTGAGGGAAATTAAGCCAAACATAGGCCACAAATCTACTTGAGACCTTTAAATGAGGTTATTACGAACGAAGCTTAAGCTGGGTTCCATCCTTGCAAAAGACGCGGTAAGTAGAATGTGTGTTATTTCCGGCTAAACAAGTTTGGAATTCTCCGAATCTCTTCTCCAAAAACACTCCCGTGCGACCTGCAGAATGACTGTTTACCTCTTTCAAAGTCTACCCCCTTCCCCTAGAATGCAGGCCGCCCATGACTGACTGACTGCACATAACTGAATACTCCCCCCCTCTTGGCCCCTTCTTTCGATTTTCACATTTCAGATTGCCACTTTTCCCATGACGATCACCGCGAAGTCACATGCCAGCTGTCCGTTCCCCCTTCTTGACCCGGCTGCCGCAGCTTGGCCGAGAACCATTTGTCCAGCCATCCCGTCGCTGACGTTTTCATATGGCTTCTGTTCATGGCCCACCCCCGTTCGCGCTGGCGTTTCACACCAACCCAGACGTTACGTGAATCATATACAAAGCGGAGCCGCCCCTCCCTCACACTAACACACACAAGGTTTCTCAAGACTAGATTCGTCCTGCGTGGCGTTATTCCTGAACTTGTGTCGTTCCCTGGTTTAGACTCCCTTCGCTCTTGACTTGGTGTGTCAACCGTTGAGGTTGGTACACCATTTATCCTTTACTACTTTTGCCTTATAGTGCCGTATCACCTTGATAGTTGTTATCACTAGTTTCGGCGTGCGCATGGCTGCTGGATACAGTAGGAGAAGTCAAGAGACGAAACAATGTGGCATGCATATTTTGCACTAAGTTCCTTTGTCTACGCAAAGAATTTAGTCGTGAAGACTGCCAACGAAGGATGAATAGAAAAATCTCACGAATGGAAGTCAATTTGCGCATCCAAGATTCTTGTTGCAACGAAGATGTACACACGATCACTGTGACAGTTTGTATATTAGTATGCGTTTACTGGATGAGGCCATCTTCAGAGACTGTGATATTTATAAATAAATATAATTTAAACAAATTCTTTTGGGATGACAATTTTTGTACTTGACTAAATTTTTTAAAAAATGCGTGCCCCTGATACTTAGTAATAATGTTTATTGGTTTAAAATTTTATTAGGTGGGCTTGACCTGATATTAAAATCCGGAACAAAATAACTTTCACTGACTTTGCACTGAAACTGTAAGCGGACAGTGATAAAGTGGCTTCTAGCGTTCCTTATATTGAATTACGTGATTTTGCGTTTGTAAGCTGATTGGATGCGTTTCCGAAAACACCACGATTACTCGCGGACATCGTAAGGCTTATAACAGTCTGTCTGTACATATTATCTGCATGGTTATTCGTACAAGGGGAAACGAGAACATATGACGGAAACTGAGAATGTTAATCTTTGGTTAACGAATGGTATAACCAGGAAAGGCTTTACGAACCAAGGTGACGGCCGGTACCCTTTATAAATGACTTAAGGGTCAGTCAATGGTTCAGTAAATTGTGCAAGACACAAAACTTAGGCTAAAACCAACTTGGGTAAATGGGGTGTTCATGGATAACTTTACATGACAAACACTCTCTGTAGTTCTTTGGGATCCCGTTTCTAACTCCATTTATAGCCCGACGGCTGTTTGTGATATAGATGGAATAGCAGTACTAACAACGAAGGGAGAGTGCAAATTAGTATATCTGACTTGTTAGTTGTCATCGGCTAATCATACCCAATGCTAGGCGTTGCAACGTCCGAGGGGCGAAAGCAAAACCGTAAGAAGGGCAAAACTCTGACTACTGCGTCAAGGGCTCGTACTTCTGTTCGCTTCGATCAGGAGTGCCCTCAAAATACAACGGGACAAGTACGGTTCGTAAGCGATCGGTAAAGCTCCATACGTATACACATACAAAAATAAATTCCAAGATGCTGTACGAAGCATTCAGAGACGCTCAAAAAATTTGCTCTCTATTTTAGGGATATGATCACCGTATTCGAACTTGACAAGGGAGTGGATCGTGCTTTCAGATTCACATACAGCGCGCAATTGAGATTGCAGGCGGACAGACACGCCTAGCAACAACCCTGCCTTCTATTTAACTGCTGGTTCTGCAATCGAAAATATAATAAGAAAACGGAGGTGATGCTTTTTTTTCAAACCCTTTGGCCAGTTTTCTGTAATGTCTGGAATGTCGATGGTATAAGGCTTCTGTGCTGGATTCCTTCGATTATCGGCGTTTATTTGTCAAAAGCCACAGTTTCCAAAATTTTCTTAGATGCTTGTGCGCATAGCCGTAGTCGCATACCAATACAGCAGAGCTCTTGATGTTCAGTTGTTTGCTAGCTGAGATAGCTTGGCGATTTATGATACGGACTTTCGACGACTTCAAACTTCGAGGACTTTGGAATCTCGGATATTTTTGTTTATATGACTCACTGAACAAATTCAGCACCTTTCCGACCGCGAAGAAATTTTTCGTCCTTGGCTTCTTGTAATCGGACATGCTCCCATTAACTGCTGGAGCTATTGACGTAGGTGCAAATCAACATATAAATCCATTCCTCTTATACAGAGTATCAATGCTGGACATACAGTCACAGATCCAATTCTTAAAGTCATTGTAAGTAGCTTATTTTCGCTCGAGCTCTACTTCAGGGATTTAAAAATGTTCCTGGCAATACTCCAGGACAGAATAGATACCGCTTACTGCTAAGCGATGGAGTTAAAACCCATTCATGTATGCAACATTTCTTATTTTTATGTGTAGTCGCTATGCTGGCCACTCAGCTCAATCACCTTATCGAAAACGAAGAACTCGTCACCAACAGTGTCATTCGCGTGAAAAAATATGTCTGCAACAACGTCCAAAAAGACAAGTTCGTCCTTTTACTCATGCATTTTTATCTTGTCAGGTACGTTGTTATCGTTTTGGAGGCCGAAATTCTGGGTGTGGACAAGGAGTCTGCGGATTCGCTTGGTACGTTTGTGCTTTGTGTTGAGTAATATTTACATTTGAAAATTTTTATCCACATCCCTAGGAAAATGTTCTTCCTTCCTTCTGAAATGTTACATGATAGAGTATGAATCTGGGATTTCATGTTTCATCATGTAACTTTATCCCTTGC